CACAAACATGCCATGAAAGCAGAGAACATCACCCATATTCTTTTTTATTCTTTGTTTTTCACTGTGAAACAGAACGCACGCCAGGAGAGCCAGCTGACAACGGCTCTATTTGTTTTTCTTCTCTAGTCACGTTTGATCTCGCGAGTCTCCGTGAGATCACGAGTCACTGTGAAATCGTTCCTACAATCAACAAGTGTGTGGTCTGGTCTCGCGGTCTGGTCGAATCGTCTAGTGTGTGCGTTCAGAGGATTATAAGGCTAAAAATCGGTTGAACTGTCTTCATGTCTGTGGTCTCCCATGGTTTTAAAATCGTCTAGTGTGCGGCCAGCCTAAGCTATTACACAATAATTGACATTTTAATTTGTAGCATATAATTTATAAAATGGTTCTAGTTTAGGACTGTTTTATCTAGGACAGTTTTTAGCCTTCCTGTTGCTCCAACAGAACATCATGCTGGGTATTTGAAACCATGCAAAACAAGGCCCAGCCTCTCCTGTATGCTTCAAACGGTTAAATGTAACCATTCCGTATCATAGGAAAAACGGTTGCTTATTGTTTTTTGGCTGTCTGTTAATTGACTTGCATGTTGGATAGTCTCCCAGTGTGTTTTATTTGGCTCCTAGAGTCATTTTCTAGTGCTCCCCACCAGCTGGGAGTGACAAATGTTTAACAGACTGTCAGTTTGTTGTGACATTTTTTACATAACTCAGGCACGGCCAGATACACCAAATGGCTGCAATATAACAAAGAGTGAAAAATTTAAGGGGGTCTGAATACTTTCTGTACCCACTGTACTCTTATTTATTCAGGAATCATTTGAGATTGTGATGTGATTTCCTTTGGGCAAGTTTTAGAAAATTTGTGTAGATCCATATTGTGTTTCAAAGTGGAAAGCATATGTCTGAAGCTGATTATGTAAGTTTGTTAATTGTACTTCCACATGAATGTGACAATTTACTAACAGGATTCTTATAGCTTGAGTACGTAAGAAGCAAACAACATATATAATCCAACATAAGTGGCTTTGAAATTCCTCTGTGGCTGTTAACGGTTTTTAAGATCCATGCTACACGCTGAATGAGCAAACCTTCAAAGCTAGTCTTCAGTCAGTAAAGGATCGGGTTTCTGTGGAAAGCTATTGAAAGTACCACCCTTTTGTGCTGTATTCAGCACTCCTTTATTCACTGAACCGCAATGAATTCTGAAGGGTGCATTGAACTCTGGATAATAGCGTTATCATTTCTTCAAAGATGAGGCCACATTGGCGATCACTTTTTTGTCACATGCAAAGCGGAGAGATAATTCATATACTCTGATAATAATGTTACAGCATGTCCCATGAGGTAGAACTAAGGTTGTTTTTTTTATTATTTTATGGTTGCTTTTAATACTCACTTTTATCATTTGTTTTATAAAAGTACAATCCTAGTGCTATAAACACATAAATCCACCACTGTCTAAATGAAAGGTAACCTGGTTTTCCCTGCTATGCTGCTCCTTAAAGAGATCTTCTTATCATGTGACCAGTTGTGATGCCTCAAGTTATGTATGTACACTCAAAGTCTATTAGAGAACAATACTTAAAATGACGACTGTTTTTATATTTTATTGGTGCTTTTTATCCTTTTTGTAGCTTGGCAGTATAAATCACCTTTCTGTTTTGTTGTATGAAAAAAAAAGGAGCATAGACACACTGTGCTTTTGTGTTTTATGGTAAAGAAATAGTACATTTGACTTACGTTGCATTGAAGGTTTATATTTTATCAGTTCTTGCATTCCCTGAGAATCAAACTTATGACTTTGGTGTTGCTAGTGCCATCTTTGAGCTACAGGAATGCATTATTTGGATACATATGCATTATTATTGATGGATAAAATGTCATGTAAATAATTGATAATAAAATTATAAAAAATTATTAGGGATGCACCGATACCACTTTTTCCAGTACTCGCCCGATACAGATACTTTTATTTTTGATACTTGCCGATACCAAGTACCGATACCAATATTTTCATTGCATTTGTACATTTTTACAATATTGGTTACAGAAACCAAAAGAGCAGTGTGTGGTATCGGCGTTTGGTATCGGGGCATTTTAACGAGTATGAGTACGAGTACAGGAGCTCAGTATCGGGCCCAATACCGATACCAGTATCGGTATTGGTGCATCCCTAAAAATTATAATGTTGTCTAAATGTATACATAAGCCAGCAGATCTTTTAATTAGATTGGATCTGTTATTTTAGTATTATTGATGCACTGTTGTAGTATTTATTAATATTTTTTAAAAAGTTACATTTTCAGTTTCAGTTTTTTAAAATTGTAGTAATTTTGTCATGTGCTTTTGCCATGTTTATTAGGATTTTTTTCTCGTTTTTTTATATTTCTATTTAAATTTTATTTTGTTTAATTTTTCATTTCAGTCATTTTAGTACTTAAACTTATTTTATTTCAGCTAGTTGCCCAGGCAGCATTTCTTTAATTTCTTCTCTTTCATTTCTTTCATTTTTCTTTCATTTTAGTTTCTAATGAATTCTTTAAAGTTTTTATCATAGCTTTATTTCTGTTTTAGTTTACAACAACACTGCATCAGATTAAGCATAATTTCCTGCATTTTATTTTCCATTTGAAGCTGATGTGAAAGAAGTTATTTTAAAATCTCTCTTCAGTCTTCAGTCTTGGTTGTTTGAATCCACACAAAAGTCATAGGAACCATTTAAAGAGCACATGTAACTCCTCGTCCTCCTCATCACACTGTGATTTTGTTACTGCGCTAATGGTCACATTAGATTGGCTTAAACTGTTAGTGTAAGATGTAATGTAGGACAGTGGCGTCAGTCATTGGTTATCTGTAGAGTGGTCTCACTGCGCTGGACAGCAAGGCCTTTGTCTTTGAGAGGGCAGGCAAAAAAAGAAGTGGGTCGTTGTCCTGTGCCGTTTTATGTCCTGGTGTTGCATCGGGTGGGCATGAGGGGGCAGGGGATGGCACCGGGGGTTGTGGATGCCAGCAGGGCAAGCCTGTCAGACTGGCACAGCCTGCCTGTTGATCATAGAGATGGGCACCATAGGAGACATACAGTGGCCCTAAAACTATTTAGATGCTCAAATTACACTAAAACAACATGCTTGATGCTAAACCTTTTCTCCCAAAAATTTTCTGAATTGCCTTTACAATTAACACCTGCTCTATTGAATCCCATTCCCACCAAATAAGAAAAAAAGATGCTTTGTTAAATCGGAATTATGACATAAAAAGTCAAAATTGAGATACTAAGACATAATTATGAGATAAAACTCCGAATTCTAACATAAAAAGTCATGGGACATAAAAGAATTGACATAAAAATACAAAATTATGACAAAAATGTAGAATTACGTCATAAAAAGTCAGTTATGACTAGGGATGGGTATCGTTAAGGTTTTAACGGTATTACTACTCTTACCGATACTGCTTATCGATTCGGTACTTTAACGGTATTCTTATCGGTAACAATCACCGATTGAGCTGATTCTGATGTTAAGTTTGGGTTTTTAGGGAGGAAGAAAGGTGACTCCTGTGAAGGGAAAGAAGTTGCGCAAGACGAAACGCAGCTAGTTTTTAATAGCTTTACCTCATGTCTTCTTTTGTATAATCCTTAGAAGCCAAAATCGAAATAAAAAAAATTAAATTAGCATAATAAAACAGCCACAGGCCCAAAGTGTAAGCAGATGTTTGAATGTTTAGTTCTCTCTTCTATCATAATTAAACAGGGCTTTCATGTTGCCCGTGCAGAAGCTCCTCCGCGTGAGTGCGATCTCGCTTCTGAATTGCGAATGACAAAAATGCATCATAGACAAATGTTTGAAAAACAGCTGGCGACTCTGGTGAGATAAAATTTGCAAGATAATGTATATATAGCAATAATAACTGTAAGTGTGTTTTATTAATTTCTCCAGTACCGATAGCAGAACCGTTAACGTCAGAGCTTATTGATACTCCGGTCTTTCATAATTTATCCCCGGGACCGATTAAATACCGGGTTTCGGTACCCATCCCTAGTTATGACATTAAAAGTAAAAATTATTAGAAAGTCATAACATAAAGGACAATTTTTAACATGAAAGGTCATGACACTTTTTTCTTTTACATTTTTTAATGTAAAAATTAATAGATTATGACAGAAATCTTTAATGTCATAAATGCGACTTTATCACATAATTTTAAGTTTTTGTCATAATTTCAACTTTTTATCATAATTAAAACCTTGTGTCTTTAGTATTTTTACATATTATTATTTGCCATTTTACAAAACAAGACAAGAAATTATGAGATGCAAGTCAGTTATGGTATTAAAAGACAAAATTATGAGACGTTTTATGTTTTTATATGATTTTTTACAATGATTTTGACTTTTAATATCATACATTTCTATCTCATAATTTTGACATCAAAAGTTGAAAATTATGAGATAAAGGCAATTATGTCATAAAATTCTGACATTTCTCTGAATATTATTTTCAGTTTTTGTCATGATTTCAGCTTTTTATCATTATGAATTCACAAATTTAACATTGCAAATTGAGACTGATTTAACTGAGCTAACATGAACTGTAGTCTTACTGGAAAGGATAAATATTTGTAAATATAAATGTATGTTTCCCTTTGACTTGATAACTAGGAGGCAAAAGGACTTTCTGGTGTCCTTTCAGATGGACAAATGATTGTTTCCAGTATAACAATAAAGAACTTTATCTTACAGAATTTCAATCAATACTCTATTTTAGTCAAGGTCATCCCTCAAGTTACGGTGATGGGCAAAATACAAAGTATCCTGTTCTCAAAGTCAAACCCAGCATTCGTGTGTTTGTACTTAAATAGACCTTTGCAGAATGTGAAACCAGTGACATGGAGTAAACCAGCAAATGTCACACAAACAGTTTTTTCCACTTGTTAACACTGATCTAATGAAGTGGTGATTTTTCCCTACATGTTTCTGATTTGTTTCACTCTTGTTTGCAGCTGTCGGGCTCACTGGTGTTGGCTGTGGGATTATGGTTGAGGTTTGACCCAGACACGGCCAACCTCTTAGCCGAAAATGATGCCCCTGAGCACTTCTTCATTGGTGAGTTGGAAAAGAACGTTAAAGCCCACGTCAAATGTTTACATAACAGTTTTTGTAGGTTTCATAAACTGTATAAACCTAAGCCATAATATAGTGTCAGGAATGCAGACTTGCAGGGGTTATTTGGAGAGGAAACGGGCCGTGTGTATATCTGTGAATGAGAGAAACTGTAAAAAAAAAAAAAAAAAAAA